TATAGATACAAAAATTATCAACAAAACCCCAGCACACCAAATCCAACAGTATATTAAAAAGATTGTATACCATGACCAAGTGGGATTTATCCTAGAAATGCAAGGGTGGTCAACATAAGAGAGTCAAATCACATACCACTTAAATAGAAAAAAAAAATCTCCACATGATCATCTCCGTTGAAACAAAAAAAGATATTTGATAAAACCTGATACCCTTTAAAAAAAACACTGATAAAATTAGGCACAGAAAGGAACTTCCTTACCATGATAATCAGCATTTATGAAAATCCCACAATTAATGTCATATTCAATAGTAAAAGACTGAAAACTTTCACTGAGAAGATCAGAAACAAGACAAGCATGCCCGTTTTCGGCACTGTTATTCAACTTAAGCCAGAGCAATTAGACCAGAAAAAGAAATACATGATAACCATATAGGAGGAAAGAAGATAAAGTATTTCTATTTGTGGATGAAATGATCCTATAGATAGAAATTTCAAAAGGATCCACAAAAAAGCTACTAGAGTGAATAAATAAGTTCAGCAAAGTTGCAGGTGACAAAATCAACACACACATATCAGTTATATTTCTATATACCAGCAATGAACAATCTGAAAAAGAAAGAAAACAATTCCATTTACAATAGCATATAAAAGAGTGAAATACCTAGGAATAAACTGAACCAAGGAGGTGAAAAACTTACATACCTAAAACTAAAAAAGATTGCTAAAAGAAGTTAAAGACCAAAATAAATGGAATGGCATTATATGTTTATAGAATGGAAACTAAATATTGTAAAGATGGCAATACCCTCAAAGCAACCTATAGATTCAGTGAAAAATATCAATGTGAAAATTCCAAAGACTTTTTTGTTTAAGTGGAAAAGCTGACTCTAAAATTGACATGGAATGGAAAATGACTCAGAATAACAAAAGCAATCTTGAAGCAGAAGAACAAAGTTGGAGCATATACACTTAATGATTTCAAAACATGCTACAAAACTACTATAATCAAAATTCTGCAGTACTTGATGAAATACAGAGGTCCAGTTTCATTCTTCTGTTTCCTAGCACAGCTCAAAATAAATTATAAATCTAAATGTAACTATGAAACTACTAGAAAAAAAATAGGAGAAATACTTCAGGATATTGGTCTGGGCAAAGATTTTATGGATAAGACCTCAAAAGCACAGGCAAAATAGCAAAAATAGACAAATGGGATTATATCAAACTAAAAAGCTTTCACACAGCAAAAGAAACAATCAGAGAATGAAAAGACAATCTACAGAATGGGAGAAAATATTTGCAAACTGTTCATTCGACAAGGGATTAATATCCAGAATATATAGTCATGTATTGTTTAACCATGGGGATACATTCTGAGAAATGTGTCCCTAGGCATTTCCATCGTTGTGAGACTATCATAGATTCAGATTTTCTTAAGCTCTTCTAAAAATAAAAGAGCAAAAAAGCTCTTCTACTTAGAAGAAGAAAAGTACTACTAAGAAATACCTAGATCATATAGCCTACTACATACATAAGCTATGTAGTATAGCCTATTGCTCCTAGGCTGCAAACCTGTATAGAATGTTATTGTATTGAATAATACAGGCAATTGTAAGACAATGGTAAGTATTCATGTATCTAATCATATAAAAGGTACAGAAAAAATTTGGTATTATATTCTTATGGGACAACTGTCATACATGCAGTCCATTATGTACTGAAATGCTGTGTAGTACATGACTATACAAGAAACTCAAACAACTAAACAACAAAAACACAAATACTTCAATTTAAAAATTGGCAAATAATCAGAATAGGCATTTCTCAAAAGAAGACATACAAATGGCCAAAAAGTATATGAAAAAACACTCAACATCACTAATCATCCGGGAAATGGAAATCAAAACCACAAAGAGATATCATCTCACCCCAGTTAGAATGGCTATTGTCAAAAAGACAAAAAGAAAAATGCTGGTAAGGATGCAGAGAAAATGGAACTCTTACACATTGTTGGTGGGAATGTAAATTAGTACAACCACTATGGGAAACAGCATGGAGATTTCTCAATAAACTAAAAATAGAACTACCATATGATCCAGCAATCTTACTGCTGGGTATATATCAAAAAGAAAGGATATCAATATATCAAAGACATATCTGCACTCATGTTTATTGCAGCACTATTCACAATAGTCAAGATATGAAATCAGTATAAGTACCCATCAACAGATGCAGGGATTAAAAAATGTGTTCATCCATAAAAATGAAAGAAATCTTGTCATTGATGGAAACATGGATGAACCTGGAGGACACTATGTGAAATAAGCCAGGCACAGAAAGATAAATACCACATTATCATTCATATGTGGAAGCTAAAAAAGCTTATCTCACAGAAGTAGAGAGTAGAATAGTGGTTACTATTAGGCTGGCGCAAAAGTAATTGTGTTTTTTTTTTTTCATTAAAAGTTAAGAGAAGATAAGGAAGGGAGTAGAGAGGGAAAGGTTGGTTAACAGACACAAAATTACGGCAAGATAGGAGGAATAAGTTCTAATATTCTATTGCACTGTAGAGTGACTATAGTTAAGAATAATGTATTGGGTATTTTCAAACAGCTAGAAAAGATTTCGAATGCTCCCAAAACAAAGAAATGATAAATGTTTGAGGTGATAGACACACTAACTACTCTGATGTTTAAAACTATACAACTTTTAGAAGAAAACATAGGGGTAAGTCTCTTGTGACCTTGAATTTGGCAATGAATTCTTACATATGACACCAAAAGCACCAGCAACAAAAGAAAAATATAGATGAATTGAGCTTCTTTGAAATGAAAATCTTTTGCACATCAAAGCACATCATTGAAAGTGAAAAAACCTACAGAACAGGAGAAAATATGTGCTAATCATATAGCTAATAAGGGGCATGTATGTATATACTTTAAAACTCCTACAATGCCAAAAAACACAATTAAAAATGGGCAAAGAACTTAAATATACATTACTCAAAAAATATATGCAAATGGCCAATAAGCATATAACAAGATGCTCAACATCCTAAGACTTTCAGGAAATGCAAATTAAAACCACAATGATATACCACTTTACACCTACTAAGATGGCTATTTTTAAAATAATGGAAAATAATAAGGATGTGGATAAATTGGAAACCTTGCATTTTGCTGATAGGAATGTAAAATGGTACAGGCACTGTGGAAAACAGCTTGGCAATTCCTCAAAAAGCTAAACATATTATACGACCCAGCAATTCCACAACTAGGTATATACCCAAAAGAATTTAAATCAGGGACTCAAACAAATACTTGTACTCCAATGTTCACTGCAGCAGTATTCATAACCGCCAAAAGATGGAAACAAGTGAAGTGTCCATCAACAGATGACACCTCATGAACAATGTAGGAGATGACTTTGCATCCCACAATTCCCATCAAAGTAGAGACCATCAACTTTGTGCTTTGATACAAACACATACACACCCCACACTCACCCTTCTCTTTAGCTGATGTTGGAAAATTCCATAGCCATCAACTGATTAAGTGTGTGCTCCACATGGCATTTGAGACACAGAATTATTTCCAAAGGGTCTGGTCCAATTGTATTTTGATGATCTCCAACACTGAGAGTAGTACCCACAGCTGGTATTACAGGCTACAGGAATTCTGTGGATTAAAAAATGTTATAAAGAACTTCAAAAATCATCTAAATTGAAGTTTCACATTGCAAAAAAACTAGCTTCCTTGTTTCTCTTAATGCACAAGTGTAGCTAATTGTGCTTCATTTAAACTTTTAGAGGTGCCACAATAGATTCACACCTGATCCTAGTAGAAATTAAACTAGGTATAGCTATTAAAAGTGGGGATCCATTACACCATATTGAGATTTTCTGGTTTAGAACTTCCCTAAAAGTTAGGAGCGGAAGGTCAACAGAAAGACCACCATTTATATACTTATCCTAATATTTACATTTCCCAATTCTGGGCCGTAAATTAACAGTAAAAGAGGCATGGGGTAGAAGATGCAGAGGTGACCCCAAAATCCTTAACTATACTCTGTCATTCGATTCCACAAACTCCTGCAGAGAAGCTAGCCTTTGTTAAGAATAAACAGGACAAGCTTAGTATAGACAACATAGCTTCAACTGTATAAACTACGCAAATAGACAGAATAGTGGGTTTTATGGGAATTAATTTCTTCCTAACTACATACTTCTAAAGGAATTTGGTATCCTGTGGCTATGTCATACATAGACCTGAGCTCTGACCAAAAAGAATCAGCACAAACAAGGGGGCTGCTACCAACTGTGGTACAAATCACCAAGTCCAAAGCATTGGCCCAAAAACAAAGGCAAGGAATCAACAGTTACCAGGATGAGATAGATGAGATTATCTATGAAGCAGTTTCAATGGGTAATCCCCAGAAACACTCTCTTCTGTGACCCAGGACTTCATGGGGAGAGAATCTCAGATGCAGCAGTAAATCTAATACCCCTGGATAGGGAGAGAGCTGTTGAGGGCACAGTGGGGCTGGGTCCCTTCAGAACCACACTTCCTGTGCAGCTGTCCATGGCTTATTGAACAGGGGTGAGAACCAGGAATCCTCTTGGGGTTAAACAGCTTCAAGGCATCCTGATGAGACATTTTATGTGAAAAGCTGAGCACAAGTTCTGGAACTGAGACTACAATGAAAGCATCTGTGTTCCCTTCCTCCTTACTCCCTTTCCCAGGTTGCCCAAATAGGGCTTCATTCCTTATTTGAAGCCCTATCAGTAGAAGCCTACAAGACAGCTAATAGTACAGTCCTGTCTTCTTGCATACAGTGATTCTACTCCTTGAACATGTAGAAACTAAATAATCTGTCAATGCGAACTTGTTTTGTTTGTGCCCTCCTACAGACACACAGGCAGTGTTCTTCACCATCTTTATGCTGTCTGTGCTTTATCCCCCCAGACTAGATTTCAACTGAAAAACTAGGACAATATTTTCATCAGTTTTAGCATGCAACTTTATTAACAACATGGAAATAAAATCTCAAAAGAATACACTTATATCAGTATAAAGCACAGAAGTATAGCTTAGGATGAATAGATTCATTATCAGGTCATGTTGCAGAAATACTAAAAATAATCTCAATTTATATTATATAGCACAATAAAAATCAGCACGTTTCAGGATCTCGAGATTAATTGGTATTCTCCCTCAATCAACATGGAAGACATAAGTATTGCATTTATAATTATAATGTGCATTGTTTTCATATTGCAACTCCAAAAAACTGTTTGAGGCTTTATAAAAACAGAGCGGTATTCAGAGTTTGAGTATTAATCGTATGACTTTATCTCTCACTTCAGGATCACTGTGCTCTGCTAAGTCTTGGAGTTTCTGACCAAACTGTTTTGCTTCCTGGAATATTGAAATAAGCTCAGATTTAGTGAACTTTTCTTTGGTAAATAGCTTTGCCTTTGTTTTGAACTGAAAATTTATATTCTCAAATATTTCAATAATATTAAGAATATTGGCCTTTGACTCATTCTTGTTAAAGGGTGCAACCAATGATGACAGTACTTTGGCACTGACCAATTCTCTTGTATTGGCTTGATTTTTAGACAAACACAAAAACACTTTTAAAACATAAAACTTGGTTTTTACACTTCCCTTGTTTAACAAGGTGAGGAAATCTGGAATATAACTGGTAATCACATAGTGATCTTCAAATTTTACACTCAAGTGCCCTAGTAATTTCAGTCCAGCCAGTTGCACAGGGGAGTTCAAGGGGCAAGAGACTATGTCTTTACAAACTTGGTGTATATATGACTCTTCTGCTTTTGGTTCTTCGGAAGGCTCAGAGCTGTCATCCACCATACTTAAAGCTCTAGGGTGTTCTTTAACATTGGGATTATTGACCAAGTTTTCAATCATAACAGTAATACCTACATCATGAATTATATCTTGTGTAAATGGATAAGCAGGACTGATGCCCATTATCATGGTAGCTATTTGATGAATGAAAGGATCCTTAGTTAACTTAAGAAGGGCAACAAGTTTATCAAACTCTTTAGGCTCCAAACTAAATGCATGTGATTTGCAGCGGCAGGACTTTGGATTGGGCCCATACTTTTCCCTTTGCTTAATCTGTTTTTTTATCTCAGCTAAGGTCTGGAAATAAGGCCCATGATAAGGTGGGATCTTGGTCAGAGGTCGAATCCCCAGAGGAGTTTCAATCAAGGTCTCAACCAGGGTCCAGTTTCCTTCTGGAGGCAAGGATTGCTCTCCTCCCTCAATTGGAACTAGGACAATATACCTGGCCCTTGACCATGCTATTGCCTTTTGTTTTATAGTAAGCATGGGTTTAGGTGTGGGTTTGGGCTTTTCCTGGATCTTAGGTAGGGGCTTATAAACTTGAGGAGAGGTCTCTTCTTCAGGCCAGAACCAGGACCCTACACTAGGTTCTTCTCCAGTCCAGAACCAGGAGCAGATATTTTCTTCATCCTCATCACTGGATTTCATCCCAATGCCAGCTTTGTCCCCAGCCTTGGCCTTGATGCTGGCCTCTTCCCTTCTGTCAGGTCTGGACCCAGTATTGGCCTTATCATGTGACTTGGTATAGGACCTGATATTCGCCTCACTGACAGCAACAACCTTGACTTCGGACTTGGTTACAGCACTGACCCTAGACATAGGCATGGCCTTTGACTTGGTTTGTGGTACTATACTATGTTCTGCCAGAGGTTTTGCCTTAGTCTCAACCACGACTCTAGTCTTAGTTGTATCTTCCATCCTGCTCTCTTCCCTTGTCACAGCCATAGTCACAGTGTAGGTCACCGTATGTGTCCTGGCCATTGCTCCATCACCAGCTTTGGCCTGGGTCACTGATTCTGTTTTCAGTTTTGCCTCAGCCACTGCCTTGGCCTGTGTTTCACCACTCACTCTAGCAGCAGCAGGACCACTGATTCCATCTTTCAGGCCAGCCTCAGCCTTTTCTCTAGCCCTTGCTTCTGTCCCAGAGCCAGCCATGTTCCAAGTTTAAGGCAAGGACAAGTTATATACCCTCAACCCTGTCTCAGCCTTGACTGAAGGTCTGTCCCGGTTGGTGTTTTCATACAAAGTCCAGTAGTCACTCTGTCCCCTTTCCAACTACAGGCTCTGCCAGTGATATAGAAAACATGCAGAGGAAGCTCACTCAAGGTAGGGAAGGATGGCTGTGCATGGGCGCAGCCCTGTGGAGGGTGGTGGTCTTCAGCCACTCCAAGGCCACCAGATCTGCCACTGAAGTAGGACCTAGGGGTGGAGGAAGGAAATGGGGCTTTGAGTCTCTTCCAATTTTTTCTCCTCATGCTGATCAGCACAAGGAAACAGGAGAGTATGGAGATTCAGTGCTAGGTGAGAGAGGTAGATAATTAGCAAACTCTCTCTCCCTTCATTTCACCCACTCCCTACGCTTCCAAGCACTATCAACCTTCTTTCCAGGCACCAAACAGGAGCACAAAGGAAAAGTGGATGAGAGCCTAAGGAATTCCTATAGTGGTTCTTGACCCCTGCTGGAGCCAAGCAGCTCTCCACTACTACATCCTACAGGTCTACCCAGGCAATCCCCACACTCATACCAACCTGCACTGATCTGGAGTAACTTTCTCCTCCTTACCTTGCTTCCAATGGTGACAAGCCCTACAGCAGATCTACAGGCAGACCTATGAACAAATAAACAAACAGGAGAATATGGAAACTGATCTCCTGGTGACAGACCTTGGTCCCTGGCCCCTATTCTTGCCTTTCCAGATACATTTTGTCTACTGTTTCCCTCCTAGTCCCCTTTCCCTGCACTGCTTTGTTTCAGGGCTACTCTTCCTTCTCCTCCCTATTGCCCACCATCTTCCTCTTTCTTCAGTGATTGCCCTGGAATGTCCTTCATTCAGATTAGACTAGAGTTAAGCATGAGAGCAGGACAATCAAGTGGGAAGTGGGAAAGGCAAGTCTTAGTATTCTGTACCCTCAAAGCTTACCAAGACTCCCAACTAAATCAGCAGCAGCAGAGGGTGGGGCAGATGGAAACAACTGGTAAAACGACAAAACAGAAGAGACGGAATTCTCTAGCTGAAGTTGCCACCCCGCCCCCCGTCCCTGTAGCTTTACACCAACCTTAACAGATACAGGGCAATTTTCTCTTCTTCGTAATTTCCTAGCTTTAAGTTGGGTGGCCATTTTACAAAACTTCACAACTGACAGTTCCACAGACCTGGAAACAGATCTACTTACAGGGATTCACAAAAACAGAGACCAATAAATGAAGACACAGGAGACAGATGAGGCTGAGTCTTTGGTAGAGACTAGCAACTAGGGCACAGATTCTTTCTGAATACAGGTACCTGATTTGCAAACATTTTCTGTCTCCCTTTTTTTCTCCCACTTCTAAATCTCCAAGCCCTCTACTCTATTCTCAAAGTCTGACAATTCCTATACAGAGACAACTCAAACATCCCTACGAGGCAGTAGTAGTGGTGTTTGTAGGGATGAAAGGACTAGACAAACCACGGAGGCTGGGAAAAAATGAAAAGTATTATTTCCATATTTCATCTGGGTTCCTATGTTTCCTTTCTCTCTCCCAAAGCCTAACGTTTTCAGCAACATTGGGGGTAAATGAGGACATGTTAGGAAAGCTGGCAGAGAGTTCTGGGGGCTCCCTTAGACTCCTGCCTACTCTAGTCTTAGCCATCTACCACCTCCAAGTGCGGCCTCCAAGTACTGCCCACTCTGTAAAAACCAGGCCAATTTTCTTTCCGTTCTCCCCTCCCCTTGAGGTCTGCTGCCCTCTACAGATCTTTACAGAAACGTGGAGTGCTGCAAACTTAGGAACAGATCTACACATAAAAACGCGTGATATACACCCAAAAAGCAAATGAAAAGACAGAGAGAGAGAGACGTGGTTATTAATGGTCAGACTAGTAACCAAGACATGAGACCCTTTTCGAATCCAGGGCCTTGATTATCAAACATTTACAACCTCTTTTTGTATTCTCTCCCTCTCAGGGCTCCCCAGACAACTGTTCTCGCCTATAGAAGTAGCCCCCTCTTCCTCTTATCTAGTCTGCCTTTTCCCGACTAGAGGCTGCAACGTTTTTCTTCCCAAACATGGTCATGAACCGAGTGTATGGAAATCAAGCTAGCAAAAGGCAGATCATTTTTTATTGTTGTGTGCCATTCACATTACTCGTCTCTCTCTCCTTCTCACCTCCCGCCTCCCATGACCAGGTCGCGTTTCCAGTGTTCACCTCCGATATCCACATCCACACCCCCAAGCGATGCCCACCTTCTCACTGACCTTCTTTGCTTGGATCAGAGGCAGTTTTCTTATTTCCTTGCCTCTAGGTGCTGTGTCACACAGCAGCAGGGACTGACACTCAGACACAAGGACTCCAGTCAATGGCGGCGGCTGTGTTTGGAGGTTGATCCGGCACCGGGGACTCAAGTCTAGATATCCGCTTTATCAGATTAAAGACTGTGATTGGCAAACGGTTGTCACTTTTCGGTATTCCTTTCTCCTTCCTGTTCCCAGGGCTCCTCGAGACCTCACGGGTAGTTAACATTTAACATCTACCTTTTCCTTCGCAGACAACGTTCTTCCACATCCGGGTTAACCTCATCGGCAGTGGGAGGAGCTAGAGCGTAGTTTACCCGGGTCCAGCTTGTGGAAGCGGAGTGACATCAGGATTTGCCTAGCGCTGCGACTCTTTCTGTCGGAGAGCTCCCTGTCCTGTACTCCGTGGCCGTTTCAGGTATTGGAATGCGCAGGGGCGAGCTCCGGATATAGGGAAAACCGCGGTGGAATGAGAGAGGCAGACAAATACCAGAGTGTTTCGGTATTAGTTCCCCTTTTGCAGGAGCTCCCCCCACCAAGACTACCATTCTTTTCTAAACTGAAATGCACACAGATTTCCGGCTGTGGCGTCAGGAAATCTCTTCTGGCCTGACAGGCGGAAGTGTTCCAGTCTTTAGAAGCTCATCTCTCCAAACACAGGGGCCCCACCGAAATGGGCGGTCTGGGGGTGGGGCCCAAGGTAGGAAAGTCTGCAAAGACAGTCAAGACTGAGATAGGACGATACATACTCATCGATTGCACAAACTTTGTGTCCCTTCGAGTCCCCCCTCCCAGGCCTTAATTTTCTTTTTCTTTTCTTTCTTTTTTTTTTTTTTTTTCAAGTTCTGTGATACATGTGCAGGATGTGAATGTTTGTTAAATAGGCAAACTGTGCCATGGTGGTGTGCTGCATCAATCAACTTATGACCTAGGTATTAAGTGTAGCATGCGCTGTTTTTCCTAATGCTCTCCCTCCACTCACCTCACCCTCTGACAGGGCCCCGTGTGTGTTGTTCCCCTCCTGTGTCCATGTGTTCTCACTGTTCAGCTTCCACTTACAAATGAGAACATGCAGTGTTTGGTTTACTGTTTCTGCATTAATTTGATGAGGACAGTGGCTTCCACCTTCATCCATTTCCCTACAAAAAATATGATCTCACTGTTTATTATGGCTGCATGGTATTTCACGCTGTATATGTACCACATTTTCTTTATCCATTCTATCATTGATGGGCGTTTGGGTTTATTCCACATCTTTGCTATTATGAATAGTGTGGCAATGAATATACATGTGCATGTGTCTTTATAATAGAATGATTTATATTCCTTTGGGTATATACCCAGTAATGGGATTGTTGGGTCAAATGGTATTTCTGGTTCTAGATCTTTGAGGAATTGACACACCGTCTTCCACAATTGTTGAACTAATTTAAATTCCCACCAACAGTGTAGAAGCATTCCTATTTCTCCGCAACCTTGCCAACATCTCGTTTCTTCACTTTTTAATAATTGCAATTCTGACTAGTGTGAGATGGTATCTCATTGTGACTTTGATTTGCATTTCTCTAATGATCAATGATGTTGAGCTTTTTTCCAAGTGTTTGTTGGCCACATAAATGTCTTCTTTTGATAAGTGTCTGTTCATGTCCTTTGTTCACTTTTTAATGGGGTTGTTCGTTTTTTTCTTGTAAATTTAAGTTCCTTGTAGAGTCAGGATATTAGATCTTTGTCAGATAGATGGACTGCAAAAACTTTCTCCCACTCTGTAGGTTGCCTATTCACTCTAACGATAATTTCTTTTGCTGTGCAGAAGCTCTTTAGTTTAATTAGATCCAATTTGTTAATTTTTGCTTTTGTTGCGATTGCTTTTGGCAATTTCATCATGAAATCTTTGTCTGTGCCTATGTCCTAAATGGTATTGCCTAAATTTTCTTCCAGGGTTTTTATAGTTTTGGGTTTTACATTTAAGTATTTAATCCATCATGAGTTAAATTTTGTATAAGGTGTAAGGAAGGGGTAGCATTTCAATTTTCTGCATATGGCTAGCCAGTTTTCCCAGCACCATTTATTAAACATGGCATCTTTCCCTATTGCTTGTTTCTGTCAGGTTTTTCAAAGATCAGATGGTTGTATATGTGTAGTCTTATTTATGAGTTCTCTATTCTGTTCGACTGGTCTATGTGTCTGTTTTTGTACCAGAACCATGCTGTTTTGGTTACTGTAGCCTTGTAGTATAGTTTGAAGTCAGGTAGTGTGATGCCTCCAGCTTTGTTCTTTTTACATAGGATTGCCTTGGCTATATGACCTCTTTTTTGCTTTCGTGTGAATTTTAAAATAGTTTCTTCTAATTCTGTGAAGAATGTCAATGGTAGTTTGATGGGAATAGGACTGAATCTATAAATTAGACAGTGTGACCATTTTCACGATATTGATACTTCCTATCCATGAGCATGGAATGTTTTTCTATCTGCTTGTTTCCTCTCTTATTTCCTTGAGCAATGGTTTGTAGTTCTTCTTGAAGAGGTCCTTCACTTCCCTTGTTAGCTGTATTCCTAGGTATTTTGTTATCTTTATGCCAATTGTGAATGGGAGTTCATTCATGATATGGATCTCTGTTTGTCTGCTGTTGGTGTATAGGAATGTGTGTGACTTTGGCACGCTGACTTTGTATCCTGAGACTTTGCTGAAGTTGCTTATCAGCTTAAGGAGCTTTTGGGCTGAGACAATGGGGTTTTCTAGATACAAGATCATGTCATCTGCAAAGAAAGACAATTTGACTTCCTCTCTTCCTATTTGAATATCCTTTATTTCTTTCTCTTGCCTGATTTC